TATATTTTTTTTGTTTGACATGTAAAATTTTAGATTACATTTCATCATCAACTATGAATTCAAAAGAATTGTTAGCTCCACCATGGTACAACAATGATAATCTGTTGTCAACGGCCAACTCAACCAATTTTTCAAATTCTTTATGATTTTCCAAAATTTTCACCGTTCTTGGAGGTAAAAATATCATGTAGCTATTTTTAACTGTTGCCACAACTTTTGTTCCATACACAGTTTCAAGTTCTTTTAAACCAGTAATTTTATACGTTTTAGACGGTTTTAATGTATCCATCTTTTTGGTTGGTAAGTACGTCTCACACTTGGCAATTTTATTTACTCTTGATAGATCCATTTTTACTGTTTTGAATTATGTATAACAATGTATTTCTCACAGTTTCAATTGATCAGTGATTTTAAACACGAGTTGCATGGGTATAAATACAATTCATCCCCTCCAAAACAAAGATTCCAGAATGTTTCAATTTTTGATGCAATCATAAATTAAAACATGCATAAAAAAAAACGTTTGCATAATGTTTCATCATCATTCTCGCTGAAAATTTGTAGAATATGTCAAGGCGCCGAATCATCCCTGAGATCATTTAAATTTTTGCTTGATTTTTCAAGAAAAAATCTTGAGGGGTTGGCATGATGTTTCATCATCGTTCTTGCTGAAAATTTCAGACTATCGAAAATTACATGTAATGAAAAAAAATATAATTTTATAGACAATCGTTGTAGTGATCAAACAATAAAATGTTATAATTTTAAAGTGGGGATAAACATATAAATAGATGATTTACCAAAAAACTTTTCAGTTGGGTTTTACATTTTGGCATGTATACAAATTTTTGAGCGCATCATGGAAATGATATTGGATGTTCAAGGTTTCAAGCAGCCAAATAATCAGTTTTTAGTGAAAGAATTGGCGACTATTACAATCCAAGATAATAGTGATGGTATGAAAGACATTTCAGTGATAATTTTTAAACCGCCATATCAGTGGGAATATTTACCTGAAAAATATGAATGCATAAATTCGTGGTTGATACGTAATTATCATCGCATTCCATGGAAATCTGGAACAATACCATATGATAAACTTCCATACATTCTTCGTGTACTTGTTAAAGATCGAGACCGTATTTACGTGAAAGGAGATGAAAAAAAAAATGGTTAGAAAGTTTAATTGACAACTCAAAAGTTGTAATTAATTTGGATGAGCTTGGATGTTCTTCGCTACATGTTCTGGATATGAATCATCTAAGATTGTAGGGTGCATAATGGAGAAAATAAAAAATGTGCAGAAAAGAATGTAAAAATTCTAAAAGCATGGTATATGGTGAATTTTCATGAAAAAACCCCATTTGAGAAGTCATTCAAATTGTATTGTTTATTAAAAAATATAACAAAAATGTCAAGTGAAGATATTGCTTGTCTTCCAAAGTATTTTTTCTTGAAGATTGTTCCAGAATACATCGACGATATTTGGGATGAATTACCGGAACATTTACAACTCGATAGAGATATCTTATTGCATCGTAAATGTTACAAACATTACATGTCATTAGATCATACAAGAACATTGAGAATTAATTGTATTGATTGTAAAAAAGAAAAATTCATTCATTCAAATACATAAAATGAAAATGTATAATTTTTATTTCTTAAATAAAAATTCTTTCTCAAGATAAAAATCTTATTATTATTGTTGAAGAAGTCATTTAACGTAAATAATTATAAATCATAGTTTAGAAAATATAAAATGAAAAAAGACAATAATTTTTCGTTTCAATAATTTTTTTACATTTAAAATACGTTTAGTTATGATTACTCATACAGTAAATAGAATATTTCAATTGATCATTCATAATATGTATTCTGTCTTACTTCAATAAGTAACAGAGAATGAGAGCATAAACAAAGTGAAAAAGAGATAAGGTGAGGAAAATATGATGCAGTCGACCGACTGAGTCAAACGGTAACGTTTCTAAATGAAATAAAATAAGTCGATTATTTTTCGACACATGGTCCTTTCAACTCTTGCATGAATCACAGCTTCTTAGCGGAGAATAAAAGTATAGACAAAGTGAGGAAGCGGTGGCGGAGCGAGGAAAAGAAGATAGCAGAGGCATGAGCGACAAAGAAAACACGTTTAATTAAAAATCCAATCGAAAAAATATGTGTCTAAAATTATTTATCTATAGTAGAGATCGTTTACAAACTATTTTAATAATTGAAAAGAAAAAAATGTCATTTATAAATTTTTTTCAGTGAGAATTTTTTCTTGTTGTCAAATTCTTTTCTTTATCTGTAATTTGATGCTGAGTGATGTGATCAAGGCCTCTCTATATAGATTTAAATCAATATCGTTCAATGATTTTTTCACCATTGGCCTCTTTGAAAAATATAAACATTTAGCCATGGTGTATGATGCATAGGACAAAATATTTAGTTCATTTTCGACAGTCAAACTGATCAAACCATACCAAGTAAGTAGTGACTTTTGCTTCATTCAAGTATAAAAAGTGTGTTTTTTTTTTAATTTTTATGCATTAATATAATTATTTATTGAGTGTAATTGTGAATTTTATGAATTTTTAAATGATAATTTATCAAGTAGGAGAATTTTTCTTTTTTTAAGCTTGAAAACAATCTGTCATAATCGTTATTACTTTTTAGAAAAAGATGTGCACTTTTATTTTTCCGGAGGCCAGGTTCGATCTACCGATCACCCTCCTAGAAATTATTATTCTCATGACACTTGAAGATCATTGAGAAGAGACGGGAGGGATGGAAGGCGCTACCCTCACACTTTGTGGCGTAACGGCTACCTGCCTAACGTTCCCCGGTAACGTCATATGGTTCCGGATAGAAGGAGACATCTCCGTCGTGCCACCACCTCTAAGCCAAGAAATCATCACTGTCGAAGACAGTGATAGTGAGGTAGAAGTTCTACCTCCTTCTCCAGCGACTGTGTCATCGGAGGATAGTGAGGTAGAATTTCTACCTCCTTCACCTCCAACAATTGATGACGATGATAATTATGATGATTCCACTGACTATGATGATGGTTATGATACTGTAAGTCTTGTTTTATGATTAGTTTTTCTAGTTTTACTTATATGAAAAAAGTTATTAAAGCAAAAAATTTTGATTCTTACAGGTAGATTAATGCTACTTGGGAACCATCATTAAAGGGATCATTATTTTTTTATAAAAAAGAAAAAATATATTATAATTTTTTTTTAATTAAAAAAAATTGACTTAAAAGAGAAATTGTTTTTACTCTAAAACCTTTTCCCAATCATCTAACATCCTTGAGACACATCACCGCCATTTTTTTCTACGGTTATTCTGCTGATAATTATAATATTATCGCTGAAGATAATTTATCACCAATCAGGATCGGTAAAAAAAAATCGCTGCCGATAATTTATCAGTGTCGATAACTTATCGCGGTCGGTAATTAGTGCGGATCAGAACCCACTTTTTTGACTTGGCCGGTATTGCAGAGTGATCCAGAACCGGCCCTGCTTATCTACTCTCATTACATCCATTGAATATGCAATGATGATAGTGCATGAATGCCTAAGCTTTTTACTTACTGAGCTTAGTGTATACTGAATAGAGATCATTAAACCCTTAATGGTTATATCTTTTTAATGATGTAACTTAATTACTATCGAACAGTAAATAAATAACTTTTTGGTTATTTTTCATCATTCATTGTCTCACTAGTATTTTATTTATTCATCCAGCAGAGCAAAGTAATCATAATAAATTTAGTCACTCTTTTTTACCTCATCAGGTAAAATTTAATACATGTTTTTGTGGGAAATAATTCCAATACCCTTGTGTCGCGAGAAATTTTTTAATAAAATAACTCAAAATCACTATACATTTTTCAGAACATATGTTCAAGAAACTCATCCCATAAATCGACGAAGTACTCTAATAATGTTTGATTTATCGAGATCAATTCTAATTTTTCCTGGAAATGTATATTACTAATAATTTATAAACGACGAAAATTCATATTTTTAACATTTACGAAATCTGTTAACCAATTTTTTTTCATCTATTAATCTATTTTATGGGTCTATTTATATTACTTTTAAATGGAATGAAGAATTTTTAACCCTTAGAAGCCTGATTTTCTAAATAAATTTTAAAAAATACTAATGTGTTCCCTGTAAGAACAAGATAGAGGAAAAAATAGTAAAATAGTTGTTTTTCTTTTATTATTTTACCGAAAGAACACTAAGCAGTGATGTTATACAAACAGCCAATTTTAAAAAATAAAACTAATTGCGAATGTATTTTCGTTTTAAAAGTTCGGTATCAAATTTGATACTCGAGGTATTTAAGAGTTAAAAGTCAATTTAAGACGGTCGTTAGAAAGTATCGATAAGTAATTTTCTACATTTAATAAATACAAATAATATCCGATAGAAGGAATAATTTTAAGCCATTAATAGCCGCATTGTACTAATATTGATCTAATTGTTTAATAATACTCATTATTCACTGAGTAGAATCTATTTTGAACATATTTTTCCTTCATTTATTTTACAGTTTTTTTTTGTTATCAAGAAGAAATAGCTGTACCGAATTTGTTTAAACGCCTTCCAGATTTTCTCCATTGTATAATCTTTCAAATGAAATTTGTGTAGAATCGATATTTTCAGTAGTAATCGAAGTCGAAAACAAAAAAAACTCGACACACATACATATATACATTTTTAAATTTTTTAATATCCTTACAAATATCTCAAAACATAAAGATAGAGTATCTTAAAAAGTCTGATAGTTGGATTTACAATCTTGTGTTAATTTATTATTTAACAAAAAATAGTTAAGTCTTTTTCGAACTATTAATAGTGAATGCAACTGTATATTGCTAGCAGGAACTATATATATTCGTAATTCTCAATGCTATCTTTTTATTCTAGACAATTCTGTTTCTCTACAGATTATTTTTATTTTGTCTTCTGACGTAGATTCTGAGTAAACAGTGATCTAGGGAGGAGAGATCACAAAAATATACTAAACAAACACAACCATATTATCAAATTTCCATTTGAGGATCGACCAAGCTTTTAATGATGACAAGGCTGTACTTGGAGTTATTAATTATTTTCATCAGCATCGATTGTTTGACAATCGCAAAACTCTACGTAAATATTACCGGTGATATTACTTTAGGAGCACTCTTCCCAATTCATCGGAAAGGAATGAATGGAGATTATTGCGGAAAAATTCAGGTAAGTTTTCTTTTTGCTAGTGTTATGTCAAAAATTGAATGGAAAAATAATTAAATTATATAAGAAAATAAATTAGTATAATAAGATAAAAGTAGTCATGACTTTTCTGTTGAGTGGACACTTTGAAAAGTCCTTCAAGTCTTGACTATTAATTGTACTTGCCTGTTTTTGACTTTAGAAAAAGAAAGAACACAAAAAATACTCGTTGGCATAGAGCCAGAGGGAATTTCTTCGAAGATCACGTACCGCATTTTTTTAAGTTTTTTTTTGTATCGATTTTACCTAAATCCACATAAGTTAAATAATCGCAATTTTTATAAGGTATGAATATTTCTAAACTAATTCTTATTGTAGTTAGAGGACGGCATTCAACCTCTAGAGGCCATGCTTTATACGGTTCAACAAATAAATCAGAATCCAAGGCTTCTTCCGGGAATACGACTGGGAGTTCTCGCTTTCGACTCTTGTGACAATCCGACTCATGCACTCCAGCAAGCACTAAATTTTGTAAAAGGTTTGAAAAATATAATAAAGAAGAATAGTAATCATATACTTTCATTTTTACTCTTTAAAAACGGCCCAGTCCTTCTGGGCTATACAAAAATGTGCGCCAAACATAAATGATGACAATAATGGAACTACAAAAAATACTAAAATAATCAAATGCCACGTATTTAAATCTCAAAATCAACAATGTTTGAAATCAATTTTTTTCTTAGGTTTTTTTTTTGAAAAAAATTTATATTAGTACATTTTATGACACATTAAACATAACAACTAAAAACTTGGCGTGACTGTTAAGATTTTATAGAAACCTGAAATTTTGATTGTATGGAAAATAATTCTGCTTAAGGCAGCTGAAGTGTCCGGACGAGTTTATCAACAGTTAACTGAACCGTGACAGTTTACTTAGTGCGACCTTAATAATAACCAAACTAGTACAAAAATCCAGACTATTAGCTTCTGGTATCATGTCTGCGGACAGTGATGGTGATATGGAGTTAGAAACCTGGCCCAACAGCATTCTAGTGGAGGCAAACTCTGAAAGAAATACACCACTATTGAACTCTCCTTCAAAATCAGGTAAGGGAAACTCATTACGACTAACCCTTATAAATCAACCAAACGGATGGCAAGTAGCATCTGGAAAAAGCTGTCATAACAAAAGGAAAAGACCAAACTCCGCTAGTGTGAACTCGATGCAGTCTCCACTAAGCAACAATCCATTTCAACTGCTAGCTAATACCCAGCAAGAAGACAATTCAAATGACCAGTCAAATGGCACCCATACCACTCAAACTAACAACACTAGAGTTCCCAAACCCCCACCGATCTTCGTTCCAGGTGTTCAAGTCATCCAAACACTTGGTGACGAAATAAAGCAAGCAACCGAGGGCGATAGATATACCTATAAGACCATTGGTAACGACGGACAAATAAAAATCATGCCAAAGACTGTAGATGATTATAGGAAAATAATTAAAGTACTCAACGACGAGCAAGCAATATACCACACCTACCAACTGAAGCAAAATCGCGCATACAGAGTAGTCCTGCGATCTCTTCATCACTCAGTCCCACTAACTGACATAAAATCTGCCCTTGGAGAAAAAGGACACCAAGTCCGAAACATTTCACATGTGTTTCGAAAAGGTACACGTGACCCCCTACCTCTATATTTCATTGATTTAGAGCCCGAAGGCAACAACAAAGATGTTTACAAAATAGAACTACTATTAAATGCAAAAGTACGTTTCGAACTGCCAAAGAAAAACACTTCAATAGTGCAATGCACACGCTGCCAAATGTACGGCCATTCAAAATCCTACTGCAACAGACCTCCTCGCTGCGTTAAATGTAGTGGAGATCATCCCACTACTAGCTGTAAGAAAAGGAAAGATTCGCCAGCTAGATGCGCACTGTGTAACGGCGAACACACTGCAAATTATAAAGGATGTATTGAATACAAGAAACTACTAGACAAGCGTAAACAAAACCAGGGGAGAGCTCACTGGCACCGGTCAACAACTATTCCACAACAAACAAACTACACACCTGACCACAAGCAAAGTCATCCACATTCAGCCTCACAGCCACACACACACTTATTAAATCACACCGATACTAGTTCTAGTAACCCATTAACATACGCTTATGCAGTCTGAAGGAAAACCCACTCAAATAAGCAATCAACTGATATAACAATAACGACAGTAATAGAAAACTCATTCAACGAGTTCAAAATAATCCTAACCCGTCAAACTGAATTACTGAACACCATGTTAAACCTACTAACAACGGTAATCACCAGTCTATCTAGTAAAAATGACTTATTCATATCAAATAGTTCTTTGGAACGCCAATAGTCTGGTCCAACATCGCCAGGAAGTCCAACCTTTTTTAGAGCTGAACAAAATTGATATTATGCTGATTTCTGAAACGCACTTCACTGACAAGACACCAAGCACCCTGATAGTAAGGCACATGCAGGTACAGCTATTATAATCCGCAGAACAATTAGTCATTATGAACTGCAAAAATACGTGACCGATAAAATCCAAGTAACAAGATCTCAGACTGGCAGGATCCCCTAGCGTTATCAGCAGTATATTGCCCTCCTAAACACAACATTAAAACTCAGGATTTCCAAACCTTTTTTCACATGCTAGGGCACAGATTTATAGCAGGTGGAGACTATAATGCAAAACACCAGTTTTGGGGCTCTAGATTATCAACCACACGTGGAAAGCAGCTTTATTTAACAGCTCAAAGCAATAATTACAATATCTTAAGTCAAAGCCAGCCTACACACTGGCCAACTGATCCGCATAAAATACCAGACGTTTTAGATTTTTTTATTGCATACGGGGTAGCTCAGAACTACATCACCATTAATGCTTACCTTGACCTTGCATTAGACCATACGCCTGTACTACTTATACTTAATGCAGGCCAAACATCAACTATTAAATCTCGTTACATCCACAATAAAAACACTGACTGGGACTCATATAGAGAAAATGTAAATAAACAGATAATATTAACCAACCACTCAAAACAACAATAGACATTGATAATTCTTTCGAACAGATCGCACAGGTACTGATAAAATTGGTGACCACTGCAACCCCTGAAATAATAGAAAAGGTACAAAACTACCCAAAGTAGTGATAAAATACTCAACAAAAGAAAACTTCGCAGAAGATGGCAACTGAGTAGACACCCAGAAGAAAAAAAAAGCTAAACACAGCAATAAAAGATCTCAAGCAAGAGCTGCATGAATATAAGAACAATATTTTCCAAGCACATATCAGTAACCTCTCCAATACAAAAGAAACAGATTATTCACTATGGAAAGCCACCAGATACCTAAAAAGACCACAACAACAAAACCACCCCGTAAGGAAAGATGACGGTAGCTGGGCAAGGAGTGACAATGATAAAGCAGAAGCATTCGCAAAGCACCTGCAGACTGTCTTTACCCCCAACACCTCCTGTCAAAATCAAGGTGACCAAGAACTCGAGATTCAACAATATCTCGAATCCCCTTTACCGATGGATACTCCAATAAAGCACTTTTCTCCACTTGAAGTAGAACATGTAATACGTAAAGTCTTAAAGTCAAAAAAATCTCCAGGTCTTGATGACATTACTCCTAAAATGCTTAAAGAAATGCCCAAGAAAGCTATAGTTTACATCACTTCAATGTTTAATGCTATAATTCGAACCTCATACTTCCCCACCCACTGGAAAACAGCGAAAATAATAGTCATACCGAAGCCAGGCAAGCCCACAGATAACGTCGCATCGTACAGGCCCATTAGTTTACTAGCAGTGCTATCGAAACTGTTTGAAAAACTACTACTAAAAAGGTTCTATCCATTAATAGAAGAACTTAAAATAATTCCTTCCAACCAGTTTGGCTTCAGAAAAAAACATGCAACTGTAGAGCAGGTCCACAGAATAGTTAAAATAATATCAGGCTCTCTAGAAAACAAACATTTCACTACAGCTGCCTTCCTGGACATCCAACAAGCATTCGATAGGGTTTGGCACAACGGATTACTGTACAAAATCAAAACGCTTACTCCAAAATATTATCTAATCATGAAATCTTATCTTGAAGATAGAAAATTTCAAATCCAAAGTGGACAATGCATCTCAAGGTCACGACCAATTACAGCAGGAGTTTCCCAGGGAAGCGTGCTAGGGCCAATCCTATACTCCATCTTCACGTCGGATCTACCCACTAACTCTGATGTCACGGTTGCTACATTCGCAGACGACACGGTGATTTTAGCAACTCACCATAACCCAGTTGAAGCCTCAAAAATCCTGCAAGACCATCTAAACAGAATCGAGCAATGGCTCAGTAAGTGGAAAATCAAAGCCAATGAAACCAAGTCAGTCCAGATCACCTTTTCTTTAACCAACATATGCTGTCCTCCCGTCACATTAAACAACCATCCGTTAACACCAGTGAACAGTGTCAGATATCTGCTCTGCAGCAGCAGGACTGCACCTGAACAGCAAACTAACCTGGAAGAAACATGTGATGATAAAAAGAAAAGAGTTGGAATTGAAGCTGCGAAAACTGTATTGGATAGTGGGAAGAAAATCCAAATTATCCCTGGAAAATAAAGTATTAATATACAAGGTCACACTCCAACCAATTTGGGCCTATGGAATCCAACTATGAGGATCCTGTGTTAAAAGCACCATTGACATCATCCAGAGGTTTCAATCCAAGACCTTGAGAGTCCTGGCCAATGCACCATGGTATGTTTCAAACAACATGCTTCATAACGACCTAAACATAAAAACAATAGTAGAGGTCATCGAAACACATAGCAGTAAATATATTACCCGCCTAAATAATCATCAAAATCAACTAGCTCTCGACACACTGAACCGCACCCAAGAAATCAGACGTCTAAAAAAGAAAACTAACCCCCTGGATCTACCAAACAGATTTAAATAAGCCACGAAATGACGATCAATGGAAAATCCTTCGAGTACATCAACCCTACCACCATCAAAATTACTCATTGTCACATTATGGCAGATTGTAGTTAACTCAAAACAATAAAAAAAAAAAATATTGAAAATATTTGAGCCAATTAGTAAATAACACACAAAAAAATTAATTTCAAATATTGTTAATTTTGAGATTAAAATACATGGCATTTGATAATTTTAGTATTTTTCGTAGTTCCATCATTGTCATTATTTATGTTTGGCGCACATTTTTGTACAGTCCAGAAGGACTGGGCTGTTTTTGATGAGATTTTACAATTTTTTTTTGCATATCCACTCAAAAAGAGTATTAAAAAAAAAATTCTGAAGCAAAAATAATTTATTACCGACTTCATAGGATTCAAAAACTTCGATCACCAACATGATAAAAGAAAAAACGTACACCCAAATGCATAAATGCCTGGTCCATACCTTAAAAACTAGACCTATGTCCTCCGAGAAATTAACGACTGAAAGGAGATTTTTCCTTTTATAAAG